CTTCCTGTAGGTGCTTTTCCATATCTCCCATGACCTGACCCTTGCAGCCCTAAGCTATCAGACTTCTACCTGGGATGAGGCAGTGAAAAGGATTCTTGGAGCTGTGACCCGCAGTTATGATGCTGGTAATTTCACTCTGATGCAAGAGATTTGCAGTATCATCCTTCCTGAAGGTAAATCTCTTGTGTTATCTCCTGGCACTCACAGGTAGAGAGATGATCCTTGTAAGCAGAGCTGTGTGTCCATTAATGTTACTAGGCATAATAATGTTTGGAAGGAGCAAGACATACCCAAATATGTGGAAACCTGTGGAATTTGGCTTAGTGCAAGGGCTGTTGGGCCATCAAAATTCCTGACGGTGGAAGGAAGCTCAGCAGTGTCAGCTGGTGTAGGTGATGTAGGAAACTAAGCAGATTTTGTTCTGTGAGGGAGATGGGGGCATTGGAAAGCTGTGTTCACCTCACAGTTACAAATCACTCCAACCTGCCCTTCCCTTTATCCTCTTTAGAGCGTGCAGTGCATTTATTTTGAATCTCTTTGATCATGTGAATATCCTGATGTGCTGTTTGGGACCAAGGAAGTTTTCTGTAGATGATGAGAACATGCAGTGTCATGCTAGCTAGAGCAAGAGTATTGTGTTTAAAAAGATGCCAAGGATGTCTGCCTTTGCTTTCCTGCACCACTTTGACAACATCTGAGTACATCTTCGGTTTGGGTCTCCAGGATAGCTGTTCATTTACAAGACCTGGCCTTTATTTTTTTTTTCTTTAAAACTTCTATAAACTCTGTGTAATCCTTTTTTCATTATTAGGCTGTGATAACCTGAGACACAAACTGTACAGCACAAATTCCCAAATGGATGCGTGCAGAAGTTTAGAGGGCTTTGTGGCTTATGGACTGCTGTATGAGCTGTGGTGGGACCCACCTAAAGATTCCCTTGTCTTGCAAAAGGCTGGTTTGGATCCTGTGCTGTGTCCCAGTGAGCAGACAGCTCTTGAGAAGAGTTATGTTTCAGGTCAGTCCTCCTCTGAAGAAACTCCTGATACAACTGCAGTTGAGATGGATGAAAACCTCTGCAATACAACTGAAGTTCATATTGAGTCAGAAAGTGACTCCAGAACTAGTTCAGACGATTTGGTAGACAGGCAGTCAAAACTGAATGGCTGCAAAGTGCTTCTTTCAGAAGAGATTGCTGCTTTACAGAACACCCAGAGAGATATAGCTGAGGTCCAGCAGATTTTAGCAGATATGATACGCCAGCATCAGCAGCAGAGGAACAATCTCCAGGAAAACACAAATGGAAGCACCCAGGAAAGCAACCTGCAGCAGAGTTCAGAGACTGAATCAGACAAACCATGTTCTGACAGCAACCAGATGAATTGGTAAGCCTCAGAATATGAATGAATGGATTGAAAAGCACTGATTTTGTGTGTGTGTGTGCAGCATATTTCTTGTTTAGCTCATATTGCTTCCAGTCTCGAGCTTGTCACCCAGGGATACTTAAACATACAGCTCTGAAGTCCTGCATTTCCCTGTGGCTGAACTAGCATGTGCATGAACTTACTACAGCTGAGTAACTTCCTGGTACACAGGGTGTGCTGGTACAGTGAATAAACAGGGCAGCTTGAAAAGGGGAGGATAATGAAAAGGACAAGCATGATCTAAGAGGTCTGTCTCTTTGTTGGGACTTTGTCAAGAACAAGCTAGAGCATTTAGCTCTTGTCCAACTCAGTCCTGTGCTCCCTGTACAGGAGGGAGGTTATTTAAGCAAAATAGTTACTCATGACACCTGCTATTTTCTTTGACAGCAAAGATGAAGTAAACGAACCAATTACACTCCCTGAGCTAACGAAGCAGCTTCTAAAAGCAAAGCAGAACCTAGCAGAATTTCCAGACAATTTAAAGGTAAGTTTTCAGAAGGGGCATTGTGGTTCTGAAAAAAGAGGGGTTTTCTAAGGGCAGCCTCATCATACAATCCCTTTCATCCAGAAAGTAAGAAACAGTGACTCTGTGATCCTATGGCAACTTTGAGAGAGAACTGACACATGGCATCAGGGTGGTATTTTTCTCTCAAGCATAACTTTCTCGGTGCAGTTGAAACATGTAGACAAAGCTTCTGCATCGGAGAACTCAATGTGATGTTCTGTATGAATCTCTCCCATGCATTTTAGAAGTAATTCATTGCTATTTGGATTTATGTATGCAAAACCAGTTCTGATAAACAGTGACATTGGAAATTTAAGGTATAAAATAGCCTTAAGAACTGTAGAAACTACAGTTCACATGTTTGAAAGCAATGTTTCTGAGGCTGTCTCATCCCCTCTGTTCTCTGGTCTATAATATAACTAAAGGTAATCAGGGTGATTGTGCAAGAGGGGACAAACCTGGTTAAATGCACTGGAAGAAGAAAAAAAAAATGCATCTAACCCATGACTGTCTGTTCCAAAGATACTACAAAGCAGTGTCTTCAGTGAGCTGGCTGCCTGAATATCTTGTAGTTGAACAGTTATAAATGAAAGAGTAGACATCACCTCATGTTTGGTTTTTTTGCAGGTCTTCCCATTCCCTGACGTGCTGGAGTGCTGCCTTGTACTCCTTCACACCGGATCCCAGTGCCCTCCTGAACTACATGAACAGGCCCTGGCTCTCCTTAGGAAACACAGCAGAGATAATATTTACAGAAAGGCTGGCAGGAGGTTCTTGACATGACACTTTGAGACCAAACTGTCTCCCATAAACTGCCTACAGCTACTTAACACCAAGGATGTTCTTTCTTCACGTGAAAGGCTTCTTTTGATGGCTGTGGTTATTTTGGATAAAACTACCAAAAAATCATGTTTATATACAGACTGACTTGTGCTCATCCACTACTACTACTTAAGGAGATTGTGTTAGAAAATTGAAAAGCAGTAGGTTGTGGGCCTGAACTGTATCCAGATTTTTGTATAGTCTTTTTTTATCTGTTGGAAGTCATGCTAATGAAAGCTCTTGCTATTTACATGTAAGAGAAACAGTTTTGAGCAGCTCTATCAGTCTTTCAGCAGAAGAGAAATAGTAGCTGCCCTCAAGAAAAATGATGGTTTCTGTAAGCAAGCTGACCCTTAAGCCACTATTGTTCTTAAAAGCATTGTGAGTTGATTTTCCCTCCTTTAAATAAAGTCTGACACCACAATGAATTGGTATTTAATTTGACTGATGGAAATCAGTATCAATAAAGGGCAAATGTAATAAAAATAAGTCTTGTTGTTGTTGTTAAACACACTACATCAATCAAACTCAGTAGAGTAGATAAAACAAGTGTGTGCTATGAGTTAGCTTTGTGTGGTGAAGCCACCTGTACAACATAATAAAAAAAATCTTGCCCTCCCTTCCCCCTCCCCCCCCCCCCCCCCCCCCGCCGTATGACTAACAAGAGAGAAGGGATTTCTCCTGGTCCAGAAAAGTCTCCACTTTTGGCAACATCCATGGTTGAACAAACTGCTTTTTCCTAGAGTGATAGTAAATTTGAGGTACTATCAAGTCCTCTAGAAAAGCTGCTATTCTAGAAGTGACAAAACCAGTCCTAGAGCTGGAGTCTTGAACGTGCAACATTTTGACCAGTCTTCCAGCTTATCTAAAGGCTTTGCCTGTCTTGTTATAAAAAAATAACTCTTCCTAAGAAAAGAACAAGGCTGCATAAGCCTTAGTGAACATCACATCTACCTTCGTAATTTCTAGAAGCAAGTTTTTAAATGCAACAGTAACGTTCATGAATTTAGAACACTGATAAGTATAATAAAGATTATTCTTTAAGAAAAAAACAGTAGGAGGGATGGATTTTTTAAATCAAGAGCTGTTCCAGATTCTTCCAGCCAAAATGCAGACTTGATGCCGATAGATTTCTTGCTCCAAGCTGAGTAAAGCCTCAGAATAACTTGGAACAGCAGTATGTGAAAGCCAGAGGTTATGCTAAAACAAGATCCATCTGTAGATGTGTAAAGCTGGTAAACTGTTTCCACTAACTTGAACTTGCTCTGTTCTATACAAAATATTTGAAAACCAGGAGGGGGAGCTACTGCCTCACTCACCAGCCCTCCTACACTTCAAGCAGGAACCACTGGAGTTTAGATGGAGCAGGAAAACTTCACACAAGGATATTGAGCAGAAGAGGTTTGTCACTTTTAAGTGGCTACGCTGCACTGAAAGAATACTCAACAGTGCTTCTGGCTGTGATGAGAGACGACCAGAAAGAGAATACAAGGTCCCACAAAGAGGTCTTAAGCTTAATTTTCATCAGCTACTATACAATAAGCTCAAAAGCAGATTTTACTAAGAACTACCCCAGTAGCACGCCTCACAAATGGTAAAAGAAGAAAGAAACTCGAGCATCTTTGAGCATGTATCGCTCAAATTCAGATTCCAAAGCCTGAACTTAGTAAGTTTAGTGCTTGATGGAAAATCCAAAACAAGGCCTGGTTTAAAAAATTTATTTTACAAAAATTAAAAACAAGTAGTATTTACAAGCATTTTAAATACCAGCTATAAACCTCAACTCCTAATAATGGATTGTTTAAGCTTGTTTAAAATGCAAGACAAAGTCTTAAAACTTTAAGTTTGCCATGTTTTTTTTTTTTTCCTTTTTTTTTTTTTTTTTAAGAAGTGTCATTTCTGAGCTGGTGGGGGGGCAGGGGGAAGATACTATAGAATATCGAATTTTTTTTAAAAGTCAGAATCCCAAGTTCTTCCATCCTCATAACTATTTTTTCAGATGTTTATAATGAAGGGAAATGGGGCTGTTTTGTCTGTTGTTAAGTAGACAGTAAAATTAGGGGCTGGAGAAGCAGGGGGGGAAAGAGAAAAATATTTATCCATCTGCTAAACTACTCGTGTTGCAAGAAGAATAGTATTTGTAGGTTAAGTTGAAGAACACTGAAACCAGAGTATTGGTCCAATCCCCATCAAAGGTGAACTTTTAGGCCTCTTAATCTATTTCCAGAACAGTTTATTAATACCCATAGGAACTAAGCTGAGGCTCAGTATGGGTCCAACCTGTACCTTACAGAATTAGAAACTACGGAGTGCTGATCAAATCAGCTCTAGTAATATCCATTCCCACTGTTGTTAAATCAAATCTCTGAATATTTTTAGCTGCAAGGATCATTTTTAATGTCATCCATTCCCAAACCTCTGCAGTGATCAAAGGGAGCAATTTCCACAGACTACACAAAGATAAAATAAGCGAAACATGAGGTGAAGCAGTCACCCTCACAACATGCAGAAGTTTTAAAATAAGCTTTATAAAGCACAATTTGCAAATTTGTGTGCATGTCTGTGTCCATTTTTACTGGATTTCCAGACCCTTAGCTCTACTGAATATTCTACCATTAAGTCTTCCTTGCAGATTCTGTACAGTATAAAGAGGAAAAAAACCAGAGGTATACACAGTAGGTTCTGTCTTTTGCCCTTGGTATTAAAAAGATGGCAAACCACAAATGCTGGCATTAGGAATTCAGTCAACTCTTCTGGGTTTCAAATGAAGATGCAGCTCCTCAGCAAAACTGCAGGCCTTCTGCAGGCTGTAGATGCCTTTTGTATGAAACACTATCAGGGAAAATGGTTGAGGACAGCAGCTGCCAATATGGTAACCATGTTATGCTGAGGGGTACTGCTTATCATGGCTGCATGTTGTTGATAATAGCCAAAATGCTCATTTTCTCCTGGGCTGAGTCCACATCTTCGTTTTGTTTCTGAGCCACTCCCGTGCCGAGGCCATACAGCCGCCCACAATACTTTGCATCATCAATTGTATCCTCAAAAAACAACTGCAGATTCAAAAAAAAAAAAAAGGAGGAAGAAACAGGTATTGTTTAATTGTGCCTCTAAATCAGAAAGCACCCAATGTTAATTAAACAGCTCCTTTGAAGTCAGCCACCTCTATGATGCAGCATGCAAATTAAAATAAGCACATGAAAGAGGAGTAAACAGAAGTCTGTGCCAATATCAACAATTCCTGTTATTGACAGTTTGAAGTGTGATAGCCACGAGGCTCAAGAAAAACAAAACAAAAACCACACTGTGCATGTTGACATTTATGGATAGGAACTGGAGAAAGAGGAACCATAAAGAAGAGTATTGCAGTACCTCCTTCATTCTGAAGAAAGCCATTCCTGTGAGAAGAGAGTCCGATCCTGCCTGGTGTTGTCGGCCAATTCGTTGCAAATCCAGCTGGTCTGCCACTTCTTGAAGGCCACCCTGCAATGAGAACGGAACAGATTTTATTTTGGAAGATCCATCTCTTACCAAAATTGCCTGGCTTCTCCAAACAGCAAGAGCAAACAGTGGTTAGAGGGAATCACTGCAGATTCCAGAGGTACACACACACCAGCTAGAAATGAAGCACGGTGGTAAATACTGTTCAAGAACACATAAACACTACTCTCAAAATTTAGGCATCTTGCTTTCCTGCTGCAGATACCCGAGATGACTGTGGGTATAATCACAGGTTATAAATGCTGGACCCTTCCCTCCCTTTCCTCAAACAAAGCTGTGATTCAGCAGATAAATTATTTTCAACCCTCTGAGTGTCTACCAGTTAATCCAGTCATGTAGTAGTTCACACAAGAAATACTCCACCTTGCATAGGGAAGATAAGCACGCTGGATTATAATTAGCCTCTGAAATTACTGATAGACAAACCGGAAGGTTATTGGAATGTACCCTATATAATATACATATTGATAAGTCTGAAACAGGGGAGGCATTATCTATCAACTTAGTCAGAGCTGTTTATGTGTGATTACTAGCTTTTATACACATTCCAGTTTTAAAGCTTGATAATATGCAGCAGTTCTGTCACTTGGCTTACTGTACATCTACAGTGTTGATGCCCATCCATCAGTTGCTTGCTGGGGAGATACAAGTACCTTGAGGTTTTTGCAGCTCTTCATTAAATACTTTACATCGTAGATAGATGGGAAGAAAAGGTTCAAGATATGGAAAAACTCATGTTCCTCTTCTGGTAACCTGGAATCTGTCAACAACTTCACCATGTAGCCAAAGTCATAACCACTGAAAATAAAAACATACGGAAACCAGATAAGCAGGCAACATCTATACTTGGTCGGTACCAATATCTCATTTTTCACAAGAGTTTTTCATGCTGTAGTTTTCAAACCTTAACATTTTCCATCATTCATAAAACTCCTCTGGATCAGTCAGAATTCATCCTGATCATCCATGTCAACTTAGGACTTGAATGCTCCCTAGGTGCCTCTGCTATCTTCTTGCAGAACAGCTAAGCCATTGGGAAGAACATACTTTTCTTCCCAACACTGCAAGTTTCTGTAGCTATGGGCAACACAGAAAAGCAGGAAAGCCTGTAAGTATCTGTTGCCACCACCTCCTCCTCCCTCAAGGCCTTTAACTTGCAATGATGTCATGGACCAGAGGCTTTGTAATCAAGTTGCTTGAAATGCTACAAGAAAGACATCTTAACTATGAAGATTTCTTCCTCTACGTAAACACAAGATTGAAGTTGATAACAACAACATTAACACTGTAAGGAAGAAGGAACAAAAACCTTACTTTACAATGCATACAAGCTGGTAAGTGTAGAAATCACATTTCAACTTGTCAATAACTTCTTCTGTAGAGGAAGAGTTAACAGCAAAAGTATTTGCAAGAAAGGCACACACAGAATTCAGACCACAGTAAGTGCTAGCACAAAATGAAGTGACGAGTGTTCTTACTTCTTAAACTCGGCTTTTGTATCTTTAAGCTTCTTTTAAGAACTGCAGAGCTGCTAATTCTTCTCCTTAAAATCTGTGAGAGTCTCCATGGACACAAGCAGCAGTATTTCAATCAAAAAGAGATTTCTCACTTACACAGTGTCAGTGACCACCTCGGACCTACCTGTGGAAGGACAGCCATTTCACACTGTCACTAAGGACGACCCCAGATGTCATAAGCAACTCGGCAAAATGCAGGGTATCGATCCCTTCTTCTTCGTGCTTCTGGAACTGCAGCCCAGAGCTGGCAAGGAGGTCTATGGAATCCTGAGAGTACATGTCCTCCCTGAAGGAGAAAAGCAACTTTGCACTCAAGGTACTAACAAGTCAGGCTCATTTTAGGAAAATCGCCCCCACACTGTATTTCAAAAATTGGAGTGACCAGTAGGCTATCTCTGGGTTCCACATTTGTCTCTCTAGAAAATTCAGATTGAATCAGCTTTAATACCACTGCTGCAGCCTCCCACATCTGTAACAAGCCATTCTGTGCTTGTAACTAATTAATAAATTCTGTTGCTCATGCAAATTCCAAAGAATCCACCTTCACAGACGTGAATGTCATTTTGAGAAGCATCACTTCTGCAGGGCGAACGGAAGCACCACAGATGACAGCACAGAGGAAAGGGGAAGATGTGCAACTCTTAAAGCACTGAGCACCATTCCTGTCTACATTTTTCTTTTTCACTTCACAGCACATACCACCGTATCATCATCATCTCCAGTTCCTTCTCCAGGGGCAAGCAAAATTGCATAATACTTGACTAAGGAAGGAGAACAGAGATGAGTGATGATATGCCTGGTGGAGAGCTGAGCAGGAACCTGACATCTTTATGAGGTTGTTGCCTTTGAAGGGGGTGAGGGGGGGGAAGGACAGGACAACACACAGTGCAAAACTCACATCAAATAGGATAACTGAGTCAAATGAAGTGATCACACTGTGAAAACCACTTCACTCCGACTGCAATACTTTTAAGAGGCTCACAAAGCTGTCGAAGCAAATATTGCAACATCTGGATTCAAGAACTGCATGATCTGCACATACTGGCTCTGAATTTTTGTCATGTTTTCCAATGACAGTTCCATAAAAATACTGATTGATTTCCTATAAATGTGTGGTTTTACCAGATAAACCCTCTCATTATTTCCAGACAGCTCTAGTGATAATTATGCTGAGTTTGTCTTTACAATTTCAGGGGAAGGGATAATGAAACTTGTGTCAACTGTAACCCAGGATATTGCAGTATGGAGGAAGCAGAAATAACTGCTGCACTCCATTTAACACTCATTCTGCTGAACAGTTTTGATGATTACACCATTTTTTTTAGTTCCCAGTTTCTATTTTACTGTGGATCTGTAAAGAGGTATTTTCCTTTTTGCTGGAAACAGTACATCCATTTATTTTTAGCAGAAA